TTAATCCTTACATCGCTAAATTAACATTTTCATATCTTTGTTAATATTTTTCATAATGTTTCCTGATGATGTGTCACTGAATGTAACACGAAAGCTTGAATCCTTTTTTATTTCTGTTCGTAATAAATATATAAAAAAAATATGCTTTTTGCAGCAGTTATCTCTTTATTTTCATATGTAAAAACATATACATATTGGGTGGTATTTACCTGATAAAAAATTTGTTTCGTTTTTCTTTAGAGTACCAGAGATTTTTTTGCCACCAGATAAATTGGCGCCCATCCAACACTACGAGGTAGTGAAAGGTTGGCTTTTGTCGGACAAAAAACAAGAGACAAGAAAACATTAGCTATTGCATCATATCGCAATACAGCTAAGAGTGTTTTCAATAATATTTTCACAATATTGAACACCAATTTATTTCACTAGCTCATAAATATAACTGACAAAAACAGTACAAAATAAAAAGAGTTTTTCGTTAAATAAAACCAAATAAAACATACAAGAACTTTCAATAAAAAAACATTTCAAATATTTACAATATCTCTACTATAAGTCTTGAACTTATTACAATTCTTCTGTCTTAATCTCGCCAGGCAGAGCTTTGCTCTCATAGCATTCAGCTCATCGCACTGATAATCAGTGTCCAATTCGACACAAGTTACACGATTTCTAAAGAACCGCAGTTCTTTACTATGTTCTTCACTATTTGATTTATTTTCTTTTAATAGCTGAGCTATTTTCTGTAGTTTTTGGCGACGCCGCCGTCAATTAGATCGACGACAAACGCGACGGTTCTTTGCAGGCACGGCATCTGCTTCTAAAAAGTGTACGAAGTAAACAATGATGACCAATAAAATATTATTACCATGATCAAAATAACTTGATAACTTATTTTGCTTCTCTGACATGACGATGATATGAAGAAAATGTCTCGATTCGAATAGATCTAGAACAGAAAATAATTCATCATCTATTCAATGCAAGCAATAAACCCAAAATGTCGTCGGTCAACACAGAATACTTCAAATCCGAAGCTTTCGCTTTCAATGTCAGAGAAAAGGCACTTCAAGACCGGTACGAAGCACAATGCAACGTACACGAGACCCGAACTACAATTTCAATGACAGTACCAGAGCCCATCTTAGCCGCCGAATAATTGGCGCCCATCCGACACTACGAGGAAGTGAAGGGTTGGTTTTTGTCGGACATATAAAAAAAGACATCTGGTATTGTAATATATAATATAATACGATGCCAGTTGTGTTAGAATTTTACATAACTATACTGTTAAGCAAAATTGTTTTACTAATAATAGTAATTAACAAGAAATATTTTATTATTTATCGTTATCGAAAAAATAACGAAAAATGACAAGAAACAAACACAAACACATACAGATAAAAGGAACCAAATAAAAAACAAGGCTTGCTATAAGCCTCTATATCTTAGTCCACCGTCCGGTCCTTCTTCATGTATTTCACCGAGCCGGTTTTGAATAGCCCCAAATCCACGTGCAACCCAATCAAGCTCATCACATATTTTACCAGGAACTGCACGTAATTTCCCAATATGTTCTTTCAATTGATTAATTTCCAGCTGCTGCTGTTCAATTCGTTCACGACATATGTTGATCTTTTTTTCAAGATCAGCAAGCTCTGCAGTTTCTTGAGCCTGTTATTGAATTATATACTTGAGAAGCTTACATACATGTCCCAGACATTCAACAGGATAATGATGACGGCGACAAGTCCGACAACGTCCATTTTTTGAAAGTTTTGAAATATCATAACCCCTACGTTCTTAGTAGACACAAGCCATTATTATTTATATTATATGATGATAATAAAATCTTTAGTGGCGTTTAAAAAGTCACATAATTACCTGTATTCCAACAACCAGAAGTTGTTACAAGTTTATCATCCGTTACGATATAAGTAATAAGAATGATGAATATGATGCAAGAAAAAAATCTATAATACAAAACAAAACAATATGAAAACTATTGCTATGTTTATAGTACTCTATTCTTTGATGCCTGAACGGGAACAAAGTATAATTGTTTTCGTATTTAATATCACGTTGTCACACAGACTAAGGACATGAAATTGAAAAGTGATAGACATCTAACCTGTCTAATAGGAAACCATGACCAAACATGATATATGATTTAGTATGTATTTCCAAAAGTTGCTATTATATATGGCGTACCAGAGCTCATCTTCGCCATCAAATAATTGATGCCCACCCGACATTACGTGGAAGTGAATGAGTTGGATTTTGTCGAGCATAAAAAAAGAGGCATCTGATATTGTATTATGAAAAATACTACAATACCAGATGTCTTATATCTAATGCATAATTTTGAAGACAAAAAAAATTTATTTCAATAAAAAAAATAACCACAACAAATTACTGGAGTCTTTTACTGTTATCACTAACCAATAAACAAAACTTTCAAAAACATCGTGAATAGGAACACATAATTTAACATGAGCACTTAGCTCCCCTCTTCCATTTCCACTTGTTGCTCACAATCCATATCTTTCAGGTGACCTTGAACACCACATATGCCCTGAACCACAACTTGTAGTTCATCGTCCACTTTTTTTTGCTACATCACGAAATATTTCTGTGTGCCCTTTCAATTGATTAATTTCGTGTTGTTTCTGCTCCAACCACCGATGACAAGAGCTAACACTATATTGAAGGGCAACACGAAGTTTCGCCTCTTCAGCCTGATGTTTCATAATGGAGTTGATAAATTCATTCTCTTCTTCACAACATTTCTGACACTTACGTTGACGACGGCGCCCACAATGTGTTCTTTTTAATAGTTTTCCACTATCAGCATCACCAAGTTCTTAAAAGACAAAACCCAATAATATTTTATAGAATGAATACAAAATCTGTGGTTCGGTTGAAAACCTCACACAATTACCTGTATTCGAACAACCAGAAGTTGTTACAAGTTTATCATCCATTACGATGTAAGTAATAAGAATAATCAATATGATGTAAGAAAAATAATCTACAATAGAAAACAAAACATTTTGAAACCTCTGTTATGTTTATAGTACTGTATCCTTTCTTGCATACAAGGCTATTATATATAGCGTACCAGAGCTCATGTTCGCCATCAAATAATTGATGCCCACCCGACACTACGTGAAAGTCAATCAGTTGGATTTTGTCGAGCATAAAAATGCCTTCCAACACTTATCAATAAGTATACATCAATAACTACGTTTCCCTTAAACTTACACACACGCATATCCAACAACATTACCCAGACAAGAGACTCGTATTTCTCCGTCACGACAATCAGGAGCAACCGATTGATTCATGACTCCTCATAGCTTCACAAGTACCAACCGCTCAAGCGAAATACATCGCACATAGGCCCCTACCCGCATGTTAATGACACTTCTGTCATAATCGCAACTATGACCTTCTTGAAAATCACATGACTTTGTGCCACCCCAGTTCGCATGAACCCTTCCACCACCCATGGTGACAAAACCCATCATAACCGGCTATTGGTTTATGACTGCATTCACAGCCCTCTTCTGTGAAGGACGGCTACTCTGTGCCACGTACGATAGAAAATATGTGAAAGTATTCGTAGAATATCAGACTCCTTTTCGTCACTGCAATCCATCAAAAGTGAGCGCTCCACCTTGTGACTTGGCTGAGCTTGAAAAGTACAAACGTCTGATACAAAACCTGTAGATACTTCCAAGGTACCATATTTTTGTGACAGTGTTACCATGATGGTAAGCTTTCACTGTTCGCTGCTGCGTCATGTGCGCATCCATCCCGTTTGTTTTCGCCAACCCTGTATACGCTTTCAGATAATAGCAATGTTTGGTGCCTCATACATGTGATAGCATGAAATCATCGGCCTTGCACTTGTTGAGTGTTGGAGATCAAGTGTACATTACTAGAAGATGCCCCGTAACTGTTAACTGATAGATTGTAGTTGTTGGCTTAAACCTCCGTTTCCGCTAGAGTCTACGGTGAATTCGGTGTGGCAAGTGCCTGCTGTTATTCCCTTTTTTCACTTCTTTTGTACACTCTAATAAAGGCCAAAGATCTTTCATTAACAAGCATTGGCATCGGTCTCGCTTTGATTTGGCTTTGGAAAGAGCTTCCTAGGAATCTTTTGTCATGTGATGGCGTTATATATTTTTGATTGTGCTAATTCCGATGCTTTTTTTGTGTACTCAAAAAGTGAGTACACTACTAAAATCGGTCAGTGTGTCCGGCCGTCCGTCCGTCCGTCCGTCCGTTAACACGATAACTTTCGAAAGGAGAGT